ACCATGGAAAGCTAGACGCTCAGTTCTGAGGCCACATGTTGTGCCAAAGGTCCATTTTCTTTCTTTTTTGAGAATTTATTTGCCTTTTTTTTTTCTTCCTTGTGTCTTTCTTCATCTGTATTCACATCCCCTCCTTCTGCTCACACTTCATTGTCAGCTTATTCCTTCTGTTCTTACCTCTGTTTTCTTTGGTCAAGGGTTAAGAGCTCCCAATACATATTAAAAGAATTATATAAACATTATCGGTTGGTTCTGCTTCGCTTGGCAAATCCTCTGCTTGTCAAGGATGGTATTTGATATATTGCCTTTTTTCTTTGCAAAGTTATTTGGGGAGCTTTCTCCAAATTACTGAAATTTTGTTGGTATTACATTATCCTAGTCATCTCATCTCCTAAGACAGAGGAGTATGCATTTATTTTAAGGAATTATATAATGGCATATTCTTCTTCAGGTGGCTTCATATCTCTTTGACTGTTTTTGCTTCAGTTCTTGTCATTCCCCTCATTTTTCCCCAGATAGAACCATCTCTTGTGCACCTGTGTTGTCTTCTGTGTTCTCCACAAGTTGGGCTGATCTTTTTAGGACCAGGTTCTGCAGTGTGGTGACTTGTTTGGTTCAGCCAAGCCCGGAGAATTTGGGTCTGCGTGTAAACTAAAGCTCACATCCCACAAAAATATAACTGTGCCTTTTTTTTTTTTTTAACATGCTGAAATTTATGCTATTGACCTGACTTTAATGCTAAGCTCAACAAAACTTCTCTTGTTTTTTCTTAAATGATTTTAAGATAAGCTAAGGCGGGTGTGTCCTGGTCTTCATGAGGTTAAGTCCGTTAGATTTTTCACGTCAAATGGAACAGACTAGAGTATTTCAGTTGGAAGGGACCTACAGCGATCATCTACTCCAACTGCCTGACCACTTCAGGGTTGGGATATGCAGTGCCTTGTCCATCCCTGTGTATCTTGGCAGACTCTTCAATTGACTCCTTCAAACTCAAGGTCCAGCTTTTCCAGTCTTCCTTGTAGCAATGCACCAGCTAAGCTAAGGTCCCGAAAAGTGTTTAGATGCTTGACTCTTGCTTAAGACTAGACTCCATTGATTTTGGCCAAAGCTCACAAGCTGGATAAGACTGAAATCTCTGCTGTTCACATATGGAGCTCAGAGAGAGAGAGACAGCCTGCTTGCTCTGACCCTCTTGTTCCTGTCCTCATTTGTTGCATGTGGGCAGCTCTGCTGCCTTTTATAATCTTCTCGTTGCATAGGTCCAGGTTACTGTGCAGAGCATCAACTACACACATACCCTGAAACAGGGAGGGATTAGGTAGTAGTCCCCTGTGGAACTACTGTGTCTGGAAAAATAAATCTAGGCACAAGCAATGTTTTATGTTTGATAATGTGTTATTAGCAGAACTCCTCCTGCCTACAGTTCATGCCAACAGCTCTGACACAAAGTGCCACTACCAGTGATGTTCATACTCTCTGTTTGCAAACAGTAATGTAGCCTTAAAGATGCAGGACAGTGCAGTTACATGTTGCTGGTGTGATTAACATGGGCTTGAAATAAAGTCTAAAACCAGAAAAGAATACAATGGCTGTGAGTCAACGGTCAAGTCTAAGTGAGCCAACTGGTCTTCTGCCAGGTCTTCTGCTTCATCCACACACTGGTCTCCTTTCGGCTGTGTCGGCATCTCTCTGCTTAGGTGACGCCATGACTCTCTGCCAGGTTTATCTCATATTACAAAATCCTGAACGCTGGACTGGAAGAGGTTGAAAGGTCCCTCTTGATTTTACAGGAAATATGTCTTATTTCAGCATGACTGTGGGTTTGCTATTTATTTTTTAATCAGTGCTGTGTTGCTAAGTCTGATAAATTTATCATTGGTCTCATAGTATTTGGTGTTCTGTAAGACTAATCCCAGCTCTCACTGTCAAGTGAATAAACAAGAATCTCAGCCTTCTCTGAAAAAACACATTTCTAGGCTCAGAGTTGTTGTGAAGTAATTGAAAAATACTGTTTGAAGCACTTGAAGAATACTGAAAGTGAAAAACGTTCAAAAATGTTAGAAGTGTTTATATAGTCTGCAAACTGAGAAATCGGAATATATGAAAAAATTAGAGCGCTCTTTTTTTCTACAGAAGTCCCATAGTTTTTAAGTTAATCTTGAGATTTGGGAGGAAGATCGGTCAAGTCCTCCTCTTTGACTGTTTGGGATTGATAGAATTGTCTGTGTTTTCCCCAATTACTTACGCTGTTCTCTTGCTCAAACCTCACTTCAAAGGCAGTGGATCAAATTGAGAATGTGGGCTTGGCTTAGCACCAGCCTTCACTGAGTTTCAGGTTAAAGGAGACCCACAAAGGGAGTCAGTGTTGGTATTTCTCTTCCCCAGCCAGCCACCCCACTTTTTCTTCTTCACATTTTTTATTTAGAGTTAGAAAAACTCAAAAGGTTCTCCTTGGTTTTTGAAGTTTGCTGCATTTCCCTTTGTGAATGCAAAGATTACCCTGCCCTAGTTTATCTAAAAAAAATCACTGACATGCTGACAGTATGCCATCTGCAGCCCTTGTAGCATGACTGGGGCAATGCTCAGCATTTATGAAAGAGCTTTTCTCTCAGATGTTTGAATGCAATCCATACCGTTGGTGATCATGAAATAAATAAGATTTTATTTCCTGTTGGTTTATTTATTAAAAAATAAATGTTTATTTTAAGTGTTGGGCCTGTATGGAACGTCAGTAATGCTTAGGCTCTGTGTGGTCTCTCAGATCAGCGGTGCCTTTGACTCCGTAGAGTACAAGCGTAGGTGGGGTGCTTCTGTGCCACGGGACGCATGAGTATGAAGCACTGCTGTGGGCTCCCCGTACCGGGCGGCTGCGCTCAGTTGCACTGGGACTGAATGGGTGCAACCCTGTTCGTTTCCCTGCAATGGCATCTGCTGTGTGTTAGCATGAGTGAAAGGTGGTTCGGGTTTGGTATGGTGTCCTAAGCAGGTTGACAGGCTCTCTTTCCCAGGACGGCCTTAGGAAAGTCAGAGCAGGCTTGATCAGGTTCTGAAGGCAAGGTGAACCCGTCATTGCTTTGCTCTGTGCTGAGGAATTTGGGCTGGAACCTTATCAGCTTGGGAGCGATGTCTTCCCACACGCAAAGATTACCTAAACATTAGAAGTGGATGCTGCAACTTAGATAAAAACGTCGATAAAAAGTAAGTTAAGCTCCTAGCCTTTCTAACTAGCTGTCCTAGGACTTCACAGGAACCACTCTCTCTCTGCCTTAGTTCTGCTTTTTGGGTTTTTTTTGGTCCACATCCCATTTCTGCCTTCTCTGAAGATACATTCTGCTTCCCACCCACGCCTTTCCTCATCTGAGAATTACTTAACTTTCTGAAGAGGAGTCCTGTGAAATGTATCCTACACAGACGCACTGCTAGGGTGGAGCTGGGAATAGAGCATGGGTGGAAGGAAGTGACTGGGACAGGGATGAGGGAGAAAGGTGGCATATGGGACAATGTGACACTGCAGCTCCAGTGGACAAGAGAGCAGAACTGCTCCTTTCCATGGTGCTGTGGATCTACATCAGCTTAAGCTGATCTTTGATTCTGTGAGCCCACAGTGGGCACACAGAATTGAGAGCAGCTTCAAGAGAAAGTTGTGTAGGAGATGGATGTCCATCTAGAGCAGGTGCTCCCAAAGATGATCCTTCTATGCCTAATTACAGTGCCTGGCCTTTTCCATCAGCTCCCTGGCATGAGTGCCTTCTCCTCTGGTGCTCTCCTGACTGGCTTCCTTTGCCTGTGTACCAGCGTCGCCTAAGAAGCTTCTCCAACTTCGCTAGACCTCTTGGTTTCTCTTTCCCACTATCACGTCTCAGCAACCATCTCTTACAGACACTCCCTAATCACCGTCACGGTCTCCGAGAATGACAGAGGCTTTCTTTGTGTGCAAATTAATAAACTACTGTAAATAAAATCAAGGAAGAACAAGGAGATACAGCAATGCAAAACCTATTATTCTTTTATTTGACAGTGTAGTTTTAATGCTCGCATTGTGGGTATGCTGGTAAATATGTTAAAAAATTATCAGAGTGTGGAAACTGGCTGACTGACACCACTGGTTCCAGCGAAGCTTTACAACCTTAAATTGGTACACGCGATCGTCACGGCCCTTGCACCAGCACTGCCAAAGCCACTGCTAAGTTTACCGTTGTATTCATCAGCTAAGAAACTGAGCCCTAAATTCTGGTTTGTTCAAGAGCAAAAATCCTACCTCGGATCTTCCTGGAAGGAGTAAATAGCCTTTCTTGTTGAATTACAGCCGCACAAGCGCTGTGCAGTCTTGAAACATGGTCAGCTTATCCTTCACAGGGAATGAGATCTGCAAGTCGGAGGGACTGAGGTCACCGAAGTCACCAGCTTTATCTGTCTGTTGTAAGCCAAGAATACATTTCCGAGGACAGATGGATGTTGTACAGGCACCCGTAGTGGAAACCCAACCCACCTCAAAAGTTGACTCCTGACAAGGGAATATCCATATTTACTGAGGGCGTGAGCAGCCTGCCCTGCCCCCGCGTTTGCCTAGAGTAGAGCCCCTGGGTGGTTATGTCACTAGACTCTTGAGGCAATACAAAAGAGACTCTCAGTAAAGCTGGGTTAGGCTTCTGGTTTTATTGATGGATCTAACTCTCATTTTATTTGGGTATTTATGTCTTCCAGTGTTGTAAATAGCTGGAATTCCCCTGTTCAGGCAGACCTTTGGTGCAGTGTGGTTATGCTGAGGGCTGTCACAGGTTACATCAGATGCAGTACGTCAGAGACCTCCCGATGCAACTCTCAGATGCTTTCAGCTACTAACGCTGAGAAGCCGGTAGGGATCACTGGGTTGGTTCCAAGCACAACATAGAGGCAGGAAAGTCTAGTGGACATTGGAAAGCTTATAATATGTTCCACCTCATTGGGGGTGACTGTGCTGGGAAAGGATTTATACAAACTTGCTACGTGAAATAAGGTGGTATGTGTTCAGAATGGCTATATGAATATATACAAAAGGTAACTGCATATGCCATAAACTTGTGTATCATAAACGTGAATGTCGTAAGCAGTTTTAGTTGGGGGATGCAACTGCCAGTGCAGCTTGAAGGAATCCTCCAAAACTGCTGTTGCAAGCACGTGGGCTGGAAATTTATTTACTCGCTCCAGGGGGAAACAATTGTATCTTCAGCAGACAGCTGATGAGTCTTGGTACTTTGCTTGTGAGCCTAATTGTCCTTCTCCCATAATCACTGACCCTCATCCCACCCCGTTCATCCCCAGGCTTTCCAAGTTGGGACACTCGATCTTTTTAAACATTTTGAAATGGGCAGTCATACTCTGTCATCCTGCAGACAATGAATTTCCACTGGCGATCCCTGCATGGAGGAGAGACAAGGGAGAGAGATTAGTGAGTCAGAACTGCAGAGGATAAGACCATACAAGTAACATATACGCCAGGTATTGTGGCAACAAACCCATCTGTCTGCCAATGCCTGACTTTCCTCTTTGTGTTTTTATGGGCTGGGAGGAGATTAAATATGTCTGATAGTTAAAATTCCTTCACACTCCCTTACAAGGTAAGAAAATGAGCTCTCTGAGTAATTAGGTACTCTCTGAGTACCCTTCAGAAGACAATGACTCTTGATTGGCGATCAATCCTAAATTGACTTTAAAACAGTGACCCAGAGGAAAAGGATGGTTCTGTCAAAAGTTACTGTCATGTCAAATATTGCTCAGGAATGTGTACAAAGTAAAATATGTGAGTCATTTTCCAGCTTTCTAAGTGGTGAGTTACTCACACAGCAAAATTCAATCTTCTTTTTTCCTTTCCACTACTAGGTCTTCTAGCTAGTGTCCTTTATTAAAGATGTGAAGGAATCAATAGTGAGAGAAATTAGCTGCACTTCTCACCCCTGATCTCCACTAGTCACATGTGAGGCAGAGTAACGTTTATGAGCATAAGGAGAGTTTATGCTTTTCCCAGTTTGTGAGTAATTGGATGTCTGTATTCCCTCTCAGGAGAGTGATATGATACCTACTAACAGTTTTTAGCAGGAAGCATTGCTGGAGCAGCAGGATTCAACAGTAGAGGCCAGTGATTTAGTGTCCAATAGCTGCAACAGGCTGCAAATTTCCACCTTAGCTTATTGTGTTTTAAATTTTCCCTTGGCAAAAAGGTGTGAGTTCAGAGGATTGAACACTGTCCTGCTGTGGAGCAAATGTTCAATTTAGGCTGCTTGGTAGTGGCTAACAGGAGTTTAGGTATAAAGTACAGTCCTTGCAGATGGCAGCCGTCGTTTAAATTGGTAATGGGTAGTACTCCGGGAGGTTTCTGAAAGTTTGCATTCTGCTAATAGTTATCTCCTAAACCTGAAGCACGGGACAGGTGATGCTGCTGGAATGGCTCAACGGGAACTTGCTTTACAAGAGCCCTGCACAGGCCTGATTTTCTGTTGGCCAGCTCCAAACAGTGAGGAAACTGGTGTAGAGCCAGATATTGGTATTAACTGCTCTCGTACGATTTCCTTCAGTGGGTGACTCCATCCTGGAATAAGATTAATTTGACTCTTCAGCTCTGTGTAGGTATAAGGTGTCTCATTTCAGCTTCCGTTAAATGAGGTTTTTTAACTGGAAATTTACTATCCTATGTCACCAGTTTATGCTGAGCATCCTTTGGAACTGGGTCTGTCAGCAAGTCATCAGCAAGTCTGTGTTTAGTTATATAGTGTTTATTTTTGGTTTTCTTTGGGCCTTTTCTAGATGGTTTTTAATTGCAATTGGCTCATAAAACTGTTACCAAAGGTTAATGAAATGCAAGATTCATTTTTAGGTTTATTTTAGGAAGTCCTCATTTGGACTGTGTGCATGCTTTTCAAAGAGAGTTATTACTCTTTTGGTCACTGAACTACCATCAAAAAAGATGAGTCGTATGTGGATTAACTGGATTATATGGGTCAAAATTAAGGTCTGCTAAAGTAGCACCCGTTGTCAGAGAGACTTTTAGCTCAGAAGCTGAGGTCAAGTTATTTTTCTAAAAAGGGATATCATAAAGTTCTTTAAAATAAATGTATTTTAGTTACCCAAATTAATAACATGCTTTAAAATATTAGAACAGAATTACTTCTGAAGTTGTAATTTAACCTTGAATTTGCAGACACATTGGCATATATGCACATGGTTGATGGCCAATAGATTTATGCATTTAGTGCCTTAATTTATCTTTTTTTGCATTACTTGTGTTTGAAGTTAAGCATACACATCCAGTTTTTTGGAATGCAGTCAATTACTTTGTACCACTGGTGCTGTGTGTTTCATTTAGTAATTATCAGCCTGTTTCAATTTGTAGATCCCTTGCAAGTTTTTTGGTGGGGGTGCAGATCCTGTCAGGAGTTGCCCTATGTAGAATACTCTAGAATGTATATGACCTTGCCTTTGCAGATCCTTACAACCAGTTTATAGGTCCCGCCAGTTGCTAATTTCATGCATTCTCCTTGGCTGGGAGAGTCACTATTAAGTCGTCACTGTTCCTCTCCAGCTGTCATGTGCTGTCAGATTTGAATTTTTGATGCTATGGGGAAAATACCTTTTGTCTCCAAATATTGCTGAATAATCTGTTTCCAATTCAGTTAAAAAATTCTATGAATTCCTATTCATATTGAGTTTGACAAAATCCTCTTTCTTTGGTCATATGAAACTTATTAGGGACCTAAAATACCCTATAATTTAGCTCAGCTGAGCTTGGTAGATATCCAGCTTGTCCAGGCATTGCAAATGTACTGACTGCTGGGGTGTCTGGGTGTTGATCTGTCTTGCCATGATGATGTCTGAGCAGTTAGGAAATTACTGGCTATTCAGACCACCCAAGTAAATGGAGCAGAGGACGGGTTTGTAAAAGACGTGAGCTTACGACAGTTTGCATGTTCTATTTTTATACTGGGCAGTGAAGGGCGAGCTGTGGCACCTACCAAGCGCGTTGGTAATCCCCATCTCCCCGTCCAGGCTGCTCACTGCAGGTTGGGCTGTGAATGATCTAGTGGTGCTCTCTGCACTTGGGAGACCGCTCCGACATGACCACAGCCCCATAACAAGACGTCACGAGGGAGCTGTGCCATCATCACTTCACATGTTTCAGAGCTCAGGCTGAAGCTATTTTGAAGCTTTTTAAATTTTTCTTTTTAACAGTGGAAGCTATTTTGCCAAGGGTCGACAATGTGCACATCTGTGTGGGCAGTTTCAGTTGTTTACCACCTGCTTCTCATACCCCATGTCCATCTCTGAAACTTGACTATCAGTCTGTCCAACCAAAAGACACTGCCTTCCTTTGCAAATGTTCCCTTATTTATGTCCATAGGTCATCCTGTCTGCATCAGCTCCCAAATGTGCTCCCAGAGATCCTTCAAGTCCCTGCTAATTCTTTCCAGCTGCTTTTGTCTTGCTTTATAGACAATTGTTTCATCCTTTTGACCCATTTAAAATGGGACTGAAAAATGTAAAGATTAACCACTTCTGAAATCCATTCTCCAGAGATGAGCACTTTCTGACAATGACCAGCAACTCCTTCGCTCATTCCTGATTCACAGGCGTGGAAACTCACAGAGAGAAGAGCAGGTGGGGGTACTACCTTTCTAAGCTTCCTTCTAACAGCTTTGCCAGAGGCATCACCTGCTCTCTCAAACACCTGTGTGTCAGCAGTGACCCCAGTGATGCAATGGCTTAGGGAGTAGGAAGGGGGGATATGATTTTATTCAAAAAGGCTAAAAATACCTAACTGTTGAAGTCATTAGGAAAGCTTGAACTAAAATACCTTCAAAGGCTTTTTTGGGGCCTCTCATTAGTTCAAGAATATTGCCCGTTCTGGGGTCATAGTATGGAAACAAGCTTAACGTGCTTCAACATGAAAAGCAGTCTCAGAATCTATAGCGTGTTTACGTGTGCGTGCTGCTGGCAGGCCAGGACTGGAAATAGCTTTTTTGCTCCTATGCTGCCTCAACCACCTGCAAAGAACCATTTAGGATGACAAACTTTGCTGACTTTTGTGAGCATACCAGAGAATTCGTTGGCACAGAAAAGTTTCCAGGACTGCCATTCATAAAATGTTTTCTCTGTGGTTTTCACCTGCTACTCTTGCAGGTTCATCTGCGGTGCCACGGAGGTAGCAGGACAAAGGTGTTGGTGGCTTCTTCCCTTTCCAGGTGCTGTGGTCCCATGACCTGTGAAGACCTGTACTCCTGTTGTATGTTCCTGTGATGCTGCCCTGCTCCTGGCCAGTGCCCCCCACTGGCACCCTGTTCTGAAGGCTGCGTCGAGCCTTCAGCACTCACAGACAGAAATCTGCTCCGAGGCAGCAGTTACCGCAACTGCTCTGTTTTCCAGGCTTGTCCTTGTGATTCCTGATTTTACCCTAGTCCACATCTGACGGAGGCTGGAATCCTCCGTGCAAGGGAGCGCACTGTCTGCATTATCTCCCCTGCTATCTGCCATGGATTAAGAATAGCGCTGGGGAATATTGAAGAGAAAAAACCCAGAACAGGGGGGTCCCTTGCCACCTTGTAAATTCTTTATCCAAAGGGATAAATAGATACCTTGTAGTCAATTAACCGTTAAAATTACACTTCTGCTTGTGGGAATAATTTTCAGACATGGCTTCCATTTGCTAATAAACAGCCTAATGAATTTTAGCCAGGATATCACAGTTACGGACCTGCAGCAGTCTGACAGCGTGTTACCATTTCTGGAAAGGTCATCTTATTTTAGGAAATCTTTTGGCTGAGGGAATCCCTAGTGAAGTCTGACAAGCTGAGAGCATCAGTGACAAAAGCACCTTGGCTCCTTTGGGTGTTAGAAGATACAGCTTGAAATGTTGGTGTGTTTAAACTCCTCCTTCTCTCCTCTCTTCTCTCTTTCTCCTGTAGCCAGCCTTGGCAACCAGAGGCCAGTGCAGTGCACCTTGCCTTGCCGTCTGTGCTGTGTCTGATGACAGATGCTTTCATATACTGGGCTGAGGGGTCTGATAGAAAATATCAGCAAAGAAATAGCCCCCAGTTGATGTGTTAGAAGTCAGCTTGAGAGGAAAGAATCAAGATCCAACTACAACTGCACTAGCAGCAGGGCCTCATAGGGCCTGGTCAAGAAAAAGTAGTCAACTCATTTTTTGGAAAGGGATCAATGTGCACTGCATTGCCTCAATTCCTGGTGTGGCCTCCAAGCTGTTAGAACTGTGTTGCAATGGATCGGGTAGTTTACAGCATTCAGATTGCAGTTTGTATGGTCTTATCTGCGTGCTGGCAGATCCCCCACTGCTCTGCAAAGAAAATCAGGCCAAAGTAAGTCCCTCATCACCTGGAAGGACAGTGTGTTCCAGGCTGAGTTTTTACTAGGTGACCTAAAGGGTACTCTTACTAGAGGTAGGTGACAAAAAATACTGTAGATCTGTTCAGCTTTGTGGAGTTCAGATTTAGCCAAGCCTACCACTGCTGTATTTTTCACTACTCGGATGGGGCAGATGATCCCATGGTGCGTGAGGATGTCCTTTTCCTGATACACCGCCCTGGACAATTAACCACATGCACAGTGAACTTTGGTCCTCAGACATCCTAGCCTGAGCTGGGTACCACGGCAGATGCTGTGTAGCCATGCGCTGTTGGGCAGAAATAGAAAACCATTTTCTTTTTTAATTTCTAGTGAAACGGATGAAGAGCAAACCTGTCCACAGCAGAGAACGTTGTGGTTGCCCCGCGGATGTAATGGTCATAGGTGTACATCATCATGTCCATATCTTCTCCATAGTGTCCTGGATATTCTGTCGTTAACCTTTACATTAAGGAAAAAGAAGATAAAATAATTTACCATCTTACAGAAAAGTCCAGCTGACTGAATGCAACTCAAACAGTAGTTTTTTTCCTGTTCCTTTCAAAGTTCTTTTTTCTTAATAGCACCCCAAGATGCAGTCTGACCAATAAGACTGCATTTCTCTTCCAAGCAACCAATTCACGTAGCTATCTGAATAAATTTCGGTAAGTTTAGAACTGTTAAGAGCACGTTGGAGTGTTAGATGCGTATACATCTGCAGCTCTGGGATAAAAGCAGCCTGAACAAGAATGTAGAGCTTCTCTACTACTTCTGTCTTTATTGCAGGGATTTGCCCCGGCCCCCTGTCAGTCTGTTTGGTTTGCTGCTCTAGAGTTCTGTAAATGTTGCCAAGTCAAACAGCTACAAGTATTCATCCATTTATGAATTGTATTAAATGAATGTAGCACTTAATCCATTCTCTTTGTTCTTCCCACTTTCCGCCTAGTTTATAACGTAAAAATACTGGCCTGGGCAGTGTTTGTGCAGTGTATTTTATCTAAGAAGCAAAAGTGCTTCTGCACTTATTAATCAAATGATGGTTACTGCTTCCCTGGGAAATAGGCAAGTAATGCTGTACTCGCTTTGACAGACCCTTCACAGATAACGAGCAGAGGAAGGACGGGGCTGGGACCTTGACCAGTACTTTGTGTCAGCATTATGTTAGGGGTCAGGAATGAAACCCTGGCACTCCATCTTTCTCTGTATTACACCAGTTTATGTGGGAGTTGCTTGTGGAGTTGTGTCAGCTTCACTCCAAAGCGGGAAGAATCAAGTTCCCTGTAGGGGAGATGCTGTCCCCGTGGAAATGAGCGGCTCAACTCCTGTTGAGACTAACAGGGTTAAGATGCCTTTATGGAAATCCTGACAGCCATTTTTCTGACAATTCAGCCCAGCAGTGGTACTTGAATTCCACTGGAAGGTGATCCCAGCACATCCCAGTCAAGCACTCACCTGTATATTTACATTTTGTTACATCCGTGTGGTTTAAGCACAAGCTTAAATATTTTACTCACTAGGAATATAATTATTGAGCTGGTTTTAAGTTTTTAAAATGAGATGCTTTGAGGTTATTTGGAGCCCAAACTAGTAACTGCTGGAATCCTCAGAAACTGAAAGTTTACCTGAAAACTGAGGGACTCTGGAATGCTGAGGGACTGAGGGACTCTGGCTGCTTTCTCCTGGAGCTACTTACTATAGCAAAAAATCCGCTGAAATTGACACCACTGTATATTTCAAATGTATTTTCGAGCACTTTGCCCCCTCCTTAGGCTGTTTACATCTTCTCTGTTAAGCAGATGTGACCAAAGTCCAGGTAATTTTCAGCTTTTGAAAATGAAAGAAAAATATAATTCAGTTGGAACATGGTTCCTAACAAATCATTATTCCTTGACAGGTGAAACATGAGACTGAGTGGATAATTCAAGCCTGGCCTTATAAGATCCCTAAGTCTCCACAGTCAACTTCTTTGAACATGTCTTGTTCTTGTGCCTCCTGTCCTTTGGCCATCAGACAAATTACCAGTTGTAGTACAAGAATGCCTATGCCCAAGCAGGTTTGGGAGACAGAAGATCAGGCCTGGTCACAGCATCCATCATCAGAGCTCTGACCAAAGCCCCGTGGGTTTGCAGAACCTTCGCAGTGCTGTGCTCTTGGTAAGAAAGGAACTGCAGTATTTCATAGGTCATGCTGACAGCTGCTGCAGGCTGTGAGAAACAGAAGAAACAGTGTCCACTGGCAGTTGTTAGGATGGGGAAATAGGCAGTCATCAGTATGTTCTGCAAGTGGCAAAATTAGAGCTGCAGTTTTCAGTCCAGCCACCATCAAAGTCCAAAATGAGACCACTATGGATTTCAAGGGAACTGGATCTGACCCAGGCAAAGGGAATAAGTACAAGTGTTACAAAAAGCTCTTTCTCATGGCTTCTCACCAGTTAGCTTGTGTTTCTTCGTAGACCAGAGATCATCAGTTGTATGTGTTTCTGTCAAACCACAGCAAACCTAATTTATCCGTTGCTGTGATTGAAGGCCGATGTTATAATTTTTACTTTCAGGGTATCTCCCCTTGTACTTTCACATATAACTTTATTTGTCAGTGTCAGACAGTTTACAGCTCAGATCTGAATACTTTTTTTACCTAGACAATCTGTGACTTGAATCTCTAATACACTTTTATGGCCCCATAAAAGAACCTTAAGCTGAGTAAGATGGTTCTTTGGTATCGCCAACTTGCTGAAAGCCTTCCAGTTTGCAAAGAGATGCTTTTGGGGCCCTGCACTACATGCCCAGAGCTGTAAGGAGAGCTACAGTATGATTCACAAAGCCTGACCTCTGCTACCTGGTCTGTACTTTATCCATTTTCTTTATACACAAATCAAAGCCTTGAGGAAGGCTTTTTTGCATGCCTGAGTCTCCCATGAGTGAAGCCATGGATCTGAATCTGGGAACTTGACTGGATATTCCTGGATCCATAGCCAGAGGCCAGGAGAAATGGGAGCTACATCCGTGTTTGTAAATTAAACAACACCAGAGAATATTTCTGGGCACTCGATTGCCTAGGCGTGCAAAATATTAGAACCCCTGGGACAGTTTTAGCCCCGACCAACTAGCGCAGTCTCAGTGGATAACTCAAAGGCACAGTTTGTGAGTTAGCACATGCCAGCTACCACTCCCAACAGGCAGAAGGTGGACACCCTGTTTTGGAGGGTAAGAAGGTGTAAGTGTGGCCACTTCCTGTGCTAGAGCAGAGTCATTGTATGTATTTCACTGATTTGTAGCCTGAGTGTCTGATAGCATATCTTTGGAGATTCCTGGGTCACAGAGGTTTTTAAAACATGTGGCATGAAGACTAGCTATGGAGCAGGATTTCATTTTGCATTCCCTCATCAACTCCAGGTTTTAGGGCTTTTTGGGGCTATTATTATAAGAAAACACTAAGGCGTGCATTTATATATGTTCCACCAAATGTGTTTCATAACATCTGTTTGGCATTCAGCAAGGAAAATATTCTGTAATTTTGAGGAGCACTATGTGCTGGGCAGTCGAGACAGTGCAAAACACAAGGTTAGAAAGCTGCTTTCAGCTCTATTCAGAGACAGAACTGAAGAGTCAGTACTTTGAACTTGTTTCTTGAGCTTTTCAGTTGAAAAGTAAATCTGATGACAAGCTCCTGAATTACCGGGAAGGGTCTCGTAGACCTTTTGCAGAAGCAGGCAGCGTTATTCTGAAGTGTATGAATGCAGTAGGGAACCCTCATTTAGCTTCCCTTTCTTTTCTTTCTGCCTGCTGTCATCTCCCCCTCCCTGTCTACTAAATTCTTCATATAACCATTCAGCCGCTTAAGGCTCCACTGCTAAGAAACGTTCAAAAAACAAATATATGCAATTACTGAAAGTAATGATATGGGGACTCGAGCTGCTCTGAAGTTTGTGTTGTTACATAGATAGATGCCTACTGACTGTGTTTGTTCTGGAGAGAAAAATTATAAATAGTGCTCTGACAGCAATGTTCAAGTTCACTTGGGTCCGTGTGGTCTGTCTGTCTAATTCAGTTCTCTTTGATGTTTGCTGCACTCATTTATGAAACTGTTCCCTTAAGCCCATTTATCTCAAGGTCATCTGGACGGGGCGGTATCCTTTAGGCGGAAATGCAATTGGTTGTTTACATAGCAGGGCTCTGTGGTGTTACCCAGCCCTTCTCTATCTCTGGTTTTGGAATCCTGGGGATAAGTCACACAAAATGTATCTGCACGGAGGGGTGCCCTAGTGTTTAATGCATAGGGATATTCACTACTTGATTTTCTCGTTAGGGAGGGGAGAAAGGTCATTTAACTCAGCTGTTAAGGCTCTTCTCAACGTGGTCTGCCCAGCACAGGACGGCGGGTCCCTTAGCATTTGTAGCTTGGTGCATAACCTTATTGCCAAGTTCTTAACTGGAAATATTAGGTGTATTATGCCTTAATGCATGTTAACTGCGAATGACCTACCAGGGCCCTACAGACAGGTAAAGTATTTACAAACGTGGCAGCGCATGGCTTTTACTCGAGAGGAGTCACAAAACAAACGAGGGACACTTTTTTGCCCTAGCTGGTGTGGGGTTTCCTGTCTGTGGGATTCTGGACTCCCAAGGAGTCCAAGCCCAAGGACAAGACCTACTTGGGAAGAGCCATCCACAGCAACCTACATGAGGACCCTGAAGCACTTCTGGCATTGACCTCTCAGCAAAGCAAACTGGTCTGGGGGAGCGGTGAGAAGCTTGGGAATTGCCGAGTGCTGAGGCAAAGTTCCTGCTGCTCTTTGGGGTGACCTAAAGCCTCTAGGACCATGCTTGATGCTTGTGGTGCCTGAGAGGATACATGAGAGGGACAATAGACTTGGAGCGCTAGTGGCATTGTTGGGAGAGGAGAAAGCAGGTAATTCTACGTTAAAGTCTGGGGAAGAAGAGCTAGTGAGAAGGGTTGTAAGTGGTTTGCCACGTGTGTGGGACAGCAAGAAAACCTGACAGAAAAAGGTATTTTCATCATGAGGTTTTTTTGGGTGGTATAGAGCTGGTGTGGGAGGGTTTATCTTCTGACTGTTTTGCGTCACCCTGCCCATTCCCATGTTTTTCTAATGTGCTTTACCACAATCCTATAAATCTTGCTCAGGGCAGTAAGCATATTGAAAAAAGGCATTAAATCTTTAACAGGATTACTGTTGTTCCTATTTTTTGTCTGAAAGTAGTAATGTTGTTTATTTTTCATGGTGAATAATTAATATTTTAGAGATTAATAGGAAACACAGTTACTCATTTAGTACAGAGAAGAATGTTTTGTGCTAATCTGCAGTGATCCCTTGCCCTCTTTTAATGACTGACTGCAGAAATAGTTATCATGAGTCTATTTTTTACCAATGGGAAGCTCGAGTCACACCAATGGCCTTGTTTTTGTATTGTACAGTCTGCTCCTTGGAGAAGTAAATGGAAGCT